CCCCCATTTATTATTAACAAAGCTTCAGCAACATTTTACATTTCCTGCCTCTCACCGTGGAGACTATGACAGAAAATCTGAAATGGTGGACGAGTTGCCATTAATTAGAGAATATAAAAAACCCATGGTGTATTTTTAAACCAAGAACTATGGAAAACCCTGAGTCCATTAATGCAGAGTCTACACCCATCATTCTGAGCTTAATAAAACAAGTGCTAGTGAGCTGGGTAACAACATCAAGACCTATGGTTACAATATCCTTCCTGAAAATACTTTCATTATTATTAAAAATGATTCACTTTCTGCATTTTTCTATATATTTGTTATCGTCACATTTATTTCTGTACAAAGCAGCAAAATGTATTTATTGACAGCTGAATACATTGTTTAAATAAGCTTCATTTTATCTCCCACACTGCATTCATTTTCTTTATTGCCGTCATCGTATGTCATTCACCGTGACCCTCTCCCCCTTGCCATGACTCTCTCCTCCTTAACATGACTCTCTCCCCCTCACCGTGACTCTCTCCCCCTCACCGTGACTCTCTTCCCCTCACCATTAGTCTCTCCCCCTCCCATTACTTTCTCCCCATTTCTCCCCCTTACACTCCTCCTCTCTCTCCCCTCCCCTCCCCACATATCTCTCTCCCCTCTACATCCCCCTCTCTTCCTCTCCCCATTACTCTCACTACCTCTCTGTTCCCCTCTCTCACCTCCCTATTACTCTCATTCCCCATTGCTCCATTACATGTAGACAAACATACAGATACCCAAACACACATGTGTTTAAGTAGACATTCCCAATCACCCCCCCCTCTCTCTATGTCTGAGTTAGCTATAAAGAGGGAGTAAGGTGCAGTGACCATTATCTCTAGTGTCTAGCAGGGTGTAAATGGGAAGCACACAGCACAGTAACTGGGATTGCTGGGATATTACTCCTGTTGCCCCATAGGCAAGCAGCGCAGGGGGCAAACGGTTACCAAACACTACCTTCTCTGCTGCTCCATTAGCCTTTCACTGCGAGGCCCCTTTTCTACCATTACACAGCGCGAAGTGACAGTGAAGGCATCACTCCTGTAGCGCAGGGTTTGGTAACCTTCGGCACTTTGGGTGGACATCATGGACAGGCTGGAATCACAGACCCCAGATCTGAGCCCAGAGAAGAAGTTCTAGGGGGACTATATCAGGGTTAAATTTTTTTGTCCTTGCTAACATACATTTTCTGAATCTTTATATGTTAATTTCTGGGTATTTTTTTCATGTGGCGTTTCTGATTTGGGAAAGCGAATTTTCTATCATAACTAGGGAGGGCATCATGGTGCCTGGCATTCACTGTATTATGCAGGAATCATGTGAGGTGGGTTATAGAACACGTAACACCAACAATTTACAGATTGCACAATGATATTTTCTATAATACAGGTACGGAGCGCTGAGTAGGACGTTTTAATTTAATTGATATAAAAAGGAGCCAGGTGACCGTGGAACGCTGTCTTAATGTAAAGAATGGGATGGAAGAGTTGGATGGAATAGAAATTAAGATTGCTATTTGCCTGTGGTGAACTCAACCCTAAGGGAACGAAGCACAGAATGCACTGACTGTGAGACCACCTGTCACCTAAACTGACGGTCCAGTGAATCATGATCGGGAAACCAATCTTAACAATGCATTGAAAATACAACTTCCTTTGTCCTAGTAACTAACTGGTTAATGATTTAATGAACTGAGAAAAAAAAAATCTAATTTGTGGCACCCCTTGGAATTAGCAGAACCTCAAAGCGCTGACTTTCCGTGTATCTTGGTCCAATATTGCTACCTGCTGGGATGCGAAGGCATTCTCTAAATAAATTGCAAGTGGCCTTGGGCAAACGGAACACTTTCACTTTGATCCAGCGCAAGAGACCGTAGACAAATGCTCAGTCAATCAATCAAATTCATAACTTCTAGCTACAATCGGGCTGACAAGAGCCTATTATTTATTTTTAAAATCTTATATTTCATTATTGCAAAACACAGGGTCTCTAGTGGGGGGCATGCTAAATTATTGATAGGTCTTCTATAGAAGCGAGTTTGTTATTTTTGACGTGCTTGTCACTAACTATTGTTAAGAAGAGTTTACGAAAGAATCAAGTTTGAAAAGTTTGCAAGTAATGCAGCTCCTCATTTTAGAGTGCTGTTGAAAAAGCAAATGTCTCTTTTTTTCCTTATTGATCTCTTAAGTGATATTGACAGCAGAATACAGAGCAGGATCTTATTTTAGCATATTAGCACTGCTCCACAGCAGAATTTTTTAATAGCTGTGGAGGATTTTTTTTTTTTCGGCTTTAATGCCAAAAGTTATAAAAAAAAATCCTGGAATAACATGAGACAAGAAAAATGATTTCAGTGCATAAAATACGCGACTCTTTTTTCATGGGAAATGATGTAGTTTGAAACCAAAAGATGGTTAAAATCTAGTGTTCTAAAACTAAAAAGAGAAAATATAGAATGATATATTTTTAGAAGGTGTGAGGGCTGTTTACATTCTGGGTTTTGCGTTCTAAAGTATATTGTATGGCCTGGACTCACAAACAAAAAACAACAAAAACAAGAAAATAAACGTGTAATGATGAACTAGCAAGTTACAGCCCTTTCAAAATAAGTGAAATATTTATCAATTTGGTCACTAGTTTATACAGCCCTAGTCACACCTCCCTGCATGTGACTTACACAGCCTTCCTAAACACTTCCTGTAAAGAGAGATCTAATGTTTACACTTCCTTTATTGCATAGTCTGTTTAATTTAGTATTTCTTAAGTCCTGCTCTGTTAATACCTTGTTAGATCTTGCAGGAGCCCCCTGACTATGATTAAAGTTCAATATACAGAGCACAAGATAAAAACTTCAAAGTTACATTAAAAGTGAAACCCTTTTGTTTTCATGCAGGCTGTGACAGGGAAGATGTAGCTAGGGCTGCATGGACAGAAATAAAAGTGATTTACTAAGTGAAGTACTGAGTGGCAGCGATTTGAGCAGTGAGACTGCATGGGCATGATCTATACACTATAACTGCTTCATTAGGCTAAAATTGTTTTGGCCTGTAAAACTGTGTAAAACTTGCCAACAGCCATGATCAAGGTGGGAAAGTCCTGATTTTGGAATTCCAGTTTGCAGTGCACGGTGTTTTCCCTGATGTCCTACTTTGAATGCAGGAATTCCACCCTAATCGAGAGTTTCATGGGTGCTCAGTGTATGACCAGCTCTGCTGGGTGGCCTTGCCAGAACCTCATGTGCTGGAACGATGTGCCCCCTCTACATCCCATCATGAAACCACAATGGCCAACAGTGGCAAGCAGTATGCAAAACAAGAGAAATTCAGTACATGTCAGCAAACAGCCATTTAGGAGTCCAGTAAGTGCTCCATAATTTGCACGTTTATCATTATAATTTCACCTTGATAACACAGTGGAGCTGTTGTCTGATGATGGCTGTTTAGATCAGGGTCCCGGTCTGTATTATGATTCACCCTTACATGTGAGGGGACTGTGGTCCAAGCTCTTTGCTGACAATCAGACCCACAGTCGTAGCATCCCCCAGCAGTCCTATTCCTTGAGGTTCTCTCACAATAACGCTCAGAGATTGCTGCTGGTAGACATTTCCATTTGGCAATGCGAGCACTAAGTGACGTGTGGGACTGGGTGTCATCCTGTGACAGTGCCACGCTGAAAGTCATAGCTCTGAGAGTGTCTGTAAGGATTATGTGGCTCTGTCACCTGTGGGTAACATCCATAGTTTTGCTCGAAGAGCACAGTATTAATTTCTAACAGATAAAGGCATGCGATATGTCAAGTCACATTTTCATATTACAGTATAGGTGATCACTACTTCACATCAGTGGAAGGAAGAAGAAACATATTTTATTTGTGTTGGATTCCAAATGAACATAGCCCTCTGAGAGAATACAAGTGGAGCACTAACCACTGAGCTATCCACAATGTAGTAACCTCCCATTACACATATAAACGTCTACCAGGGTAAAATCTTTAAAATATGATGCAATCAAACCATATTTCAGCTGAGCTGTAATAACTGCTAGTATGTTGCATATTTTAACTGTATCATAAGGGGCCCCAACACACTCCTTTAAAAGCAAGATTAATCTTCATGTATTCTCTGTGAATCATTTCTAATAAACAACTAAATCAAGCCGTGAATACTGTATAACTAAATACGCTATATAGTTACATAAAACTATAGACAAGCAATGTCTTATAAATTAACAATCACCGGAAATATATTCTATGTAGATCAGGTAAATGAAAGATATGAAACACACAAATAAATAAGTTTGCAATATGTACAATATACGCATCGCTCCGTTAATATAAATGCACAGTATCTAATGAAATTAGGGGAAGATTATTTTGCAAGTGAAAATAATTCAGGCCCTGTTACCTAAAAAGGGGTCTATCCCAGCGTGGCATAGGCGTCATGCATTCCGAGCTACTCATTATATCAGGCAGTAAGAGTTGTAAACTCACATTATATCCTATCGAGGAACACACAGAAGCCAATAGCAAATTAAAATGATCTAATTATACCGGTTTCTCTTTTACAGCTTGGTTATTCGGGGTTGTTTTTTTTGGACAAACAATTTTACATCTCTCTATTTTTTTTATTTTCTATTCACTATAAGATGAGATGCACGTGGTATTAACTAGTGTTTTACCCAATACACCAGACACCAAATCCCAGTGAATAAAAGACAGAGTGGAGATTTCCATGTGATAAAAAAAAAATCTTTACTTGAAAGGTAGAGTTTCCCAAATTCTTTATTTTTTCTTTTTTTTTTTTTTATTAAGTTTGAAATCTGTTTTTTTATTTCACTATAATTCAGTCATTCATACTTAAGCCCTGCAATTATAATTAAATATCCTAACACAAAACAAAACATTAAATAGAAAATAAATAAGAGGAAAGGAAGGGGCTGAATTCTCAGGAAGCGAAGTGCAGCTAAAACGCTAGATTTGCAATTACTGTGAGATAAATGCCAATGTGAAATATATGAGATCGTAGTATTATTTTTATTATATACTTATTTATAACTTATTCCACAGCGCTTTACAATAATTTAAGGGGGAACATTTAACAATAACTGAGACAATAACAAAATGTTACAGAAACAAAAGACTGATGAAGACCCTGCTCAAACAAGCTTACAATCTAGAGGAGGTGGGGTATAAAAACACGGTAAGAAGGGCATTGAGAGGGACAGCAATCAAACAGAGTGGGAAACTAGCAGACCTGGGAGGTGAGAGTAGAGTGTGGTCCTTCAAGAGAGAGCGACAGACAGATTTGTGAAATAGAAGTTGCTCTGGGAGGCCACATGCTTTTCTGAAGTAATGGATTTTGAGGGACTTCTAAAATAATTGAAGAGAGATGATTTGCAGAGTCTGATGGGGTTGACAGGCTTCTCCAAAGGAAAGTAGCCGCCCGTGGTAAGTTCTGCAAGTGTGAGTTAGCAGAATGGGTGCGAACAGCAGAGAGGAGAATATCATCGGCAGAGCGGAGAGACCGAGAAGGGGCGTACCTCCGAATCAGTGAAGAGATATAACCAGGGCTAGAGTGGTTTAGAGCTTTACAGTAAATTTTTTTAAATGATTGAGAAAGGTTTTGAAGGTATATTAGTAACCTGGGATGTGTCTTCCGCTAGGCAAACAAGGCATCTGCCTTGGGCGGCACTTTGCAGGGGGCGGCAAAAAAAAGCCGCCCCCAAATGCACAGGCAGATCCCTTGCTTGCCTCGCATCCTGGGGGGCTCAACAGCGTCCGGCTGGCTTCTTTTGAGCCCCCGGGTGTCGGGGAGCGAGGGAGAATACTTACCTTAGCACTTCCTGCTCAGCTCCCTCCGCGCCTCTTAATGAAGCCGGGAGCCAGAATATGACGTCAGACCAGCTCCCGGCATCACTAAGCGCCGCCTACTCAGCCTGTGCGCCCCCTGCCTGCCCGACCAGCAGCCACACTGGACAGGTAAGGAATCCACTCCAGCTCTCCCATGGAGGCTGGGTGGATTTAAAATAAAATAAAAATAATAATTTATGAGTGTTGGGAGAAATGTGTATGTGTCTGTAAGTGTGTGTGTCTAAGTGAATGTGTGTGTCTATAAGTGTGTATGTGTGTGTGTCTGTAAGTGAATGTGTGTGTCTGTAAGTGAATGTGTGTGACTGTAAGTGAATGTGTGTGTGTCTGTAAGTGAAGATATATTTGGGCTAGCTGACCTCCATTTGTCTAAATATAGATAGGAATTAAGGAGAGAGCGTAGGTAACTTTTTCTTTTCTTTGGTTTTTACTATATATTGGGGCTGATGTGTACTGTAGTCATTGCTGCTGGCCCAGTAGTGATGGGAGTGAGCGCAGGACTTCTCTTTTTGTGTTTGTATTAACTTTGTATCACACAGCCTTGTTACAATGCTGCCACCCATCCCATGTGTTCCCTATTAAGGGTTAATAAGTATAAAGGGGTGTATATAAAAAATACCCCTCTCTGTCTCATTAGAGATATCTTTGCCAGAAGCTCAAGGAAGCAGGCTGAAGGGTCAGTGTAGGACCCGCTTAGGGGGGTCTGCCTTGACGTGGGCAGGAGGGCATTCCCTCCAATGGCCATTGGAGCAACTAAATGACCTCCATTTGTTTAAATATACATAGGGATTAAGGAGAGAGCGCAGGTAACGTTTTCTTTAGCTGACTAAGGTGTAACTCCATCTTGGGCAGAATCGTTTACCAACTAAGAATAAGAGTTCCAGACTGGCCAGTATCAATTCTTTGTATTTGTCTTTGCACAAACGTTCATTCATTGGATGAGAGCGGTCAGCTGATGCTGTCAGCCCACAAATGAGCAGCGGATACAGCATCCGGATCATGCGGCCATGCCTTGAGGCTCAGGGGGTCGCGGGTAAATGATAAACCGGTTTGCAGTGCTCGGACCCAACTAGAGGAACCGTCACCAACCCTGATAATAAAATAAAAAAACATAGCGTTATTTCTTCATTGCCAAAATATACAGATAACACCCATACAGGGGATAGCACAAGACAAAAACATCCGAGGTTGATATAACAAGTGCTGATTGTATGTTGTATTTTACCTGGGCTAAATGAATTTACAGAGATTATTTATAATACAGTTGGAAGAAAAACTATGTGAACCCTTTGGAATGATATGGATTTCTGCACAAATTGGTCATAAAATGTGATCTGATCATCATCTATGTCACAACAATAGACAATCACAGTCTGCTTAAACTAATAACACACAAAGAATGAAATGTTGCCATGTTTTTATTGAACACACCATGTAAACATTCACAGTGCAGGTGGAAAAAGTATGTGAACCCTTGGATTTAATAACTGGTTGAACCTCCTTTGGCAGCAATAACTTCAACCAAACGTTTCCTGTAGTTGCAGATCAGACGTGCACAACGGTCAGGAGTAATTCTTGACCATTCCTCTTACAGAACTGTTTCAGTTCAGCAATATTCTTGGGATGTCTGGTGTGAATCGCTTTCTTGAGGTCATGCCACAGCATCTCAATCGGGTTGAGGTCAGGACTCTGACTGGGCCACTTCAGAAGGCGCATTTTCTTCTGTTTAAGCCATTCTGTTGTTGATTTACTTCTATGCTTTCATTGTCCTGTTGCAACAACCATCTTCTGTTGAGCTTCAGCTGGTAGACAGATGGCCTTAAGTTCTCCTGCAAAATGTCTTGATAAACTTGGGAATTCATTTTTCCTTCGATGATAGCAATCCGTCCAGACCCTGACGCAGCAAAGCAAACCCAAACCATGATGCCCCGACCACCATACTTCACAGTTGGGATGAGGTTTTGATGTTGGTGTGCTGTGCCTTTTTTTCATCACACATATGGTGTTGTGTGTTTCTTCCAAACAACTCAACTTTGGTTTCATCTGTCCACAGAATATTTTGCCAGTACTGCTGTGGAACATCCAGGTGCTCTTGTGCAAACTGTAAACGTACAGCAATGTTTTGTTTGGACAGCAGTGGCTTCCTCTGTGGTATTCTCCCATGAAATCCATTCTTGTTTAGTGTTTTACGTATTGTAGATTCGCTAACAGGGATGTTAGCATTTGCCGGTGACTTTTGTAAGTCTTTAGCTGACACTCTAGGATTCTTTTTCACCTCATTGAGCAGTCTGCGCTGTGCTCTTGCAGTCATCTTTACAGGACGGCCACTCCTAGGGAGAGTAGCAGCAGTTCCATCTATAGACAATTTGTCTTACCGTGTCTTACCGCTTTATGCAAGTCAACAATTCTTAATCGTAGGTCTTCTGAAAGCTCTTTTGTGCGAGGCATCATTCCCATCAGGCAATGCTTCTTGTGAAAAGCAAACCCAGAACTGGTGTGTGTTTTTATAGGGCAGGGCAGCTGTAACCAACACCTCCATTCTCATCTCATTGATTGGACTCCAGTTGGCTGACATCTCACTCCAATTAGCTCTTGGAGATGTCATTAGTCTAGGGGTTCACATACTTTTTCCACCTGCACTGTGGATGTTTACATGGTGTGTTCAATAAAAACATGGCAACATTTCATTCTTTGTGTGTTATTAGTTTAAGCAGACTGTGATTGTCTATTGTTGTGACTTAGATGATGATCAGATCACATTTTATGACCAATTTGTGCAGAAATCCATATCATTCCAAAGGGCTCACATACTTTC